GGGAGCACAATGATGAAATTCTACCGCAGCCCGCAGGCCCACCGCTGGTGCACCCCTCCTGAGTCCCGGCCTCCCGCAGCCCATGGGCCCACCGCGGGTGCGCCCCTCCTGAGTCCCGGCCTCCCGCAGGCCCACCGCGGGTGCGCCCCTCCTGAGTCCCGGCCTCCCGCAGCCCCCACCGCGGGTGCGCCCCTCCTGAGTCCCGGCCTCCCGCAGGCCCACCGCGGCTGCGCCCCTCCTGAGTCCCGGCCTCCCGCAGCCCATGGGCCCACCGCGGGTGCGCCCCTCCTGAGTCCCGGCCTCCCGCAGGCCCACCGCGGGTGCGCCCCTCCTGAGTCCCGGCCTCCCGCAGGCCCACCGCGGGTGCGCCCCTCCTGGGTCCCGGCCTCCCGCAGGCCCACCGCGGGTGCGCCCCTCCTGAGTCCCGGCCTCCCGCAGGCCCACCGCGGCTGCGCCCCTCCTGAGTCCCGGCCTCCCGCAGGCCCACCGCGGGTGCGCCCCTCCTGAGTCCCGGCCTCCCGCAGCCCGTGGCCCCACCGCTGGTGCACCCCTCCTGAGTCCCGGCCTCCCGCAGCCCATGGGCCCACCGCCGGTGCACTGATCCCGAGTCCAGGGCTGGTTTTGTTGAACGGGAGGTGCCATCTCGAGAGTTCACAGAGGGCAATGAACCAGCCGCTGAATATTTCATTTAAGAGCCTAGAACACGGACTATTTGCTTGTCTGCTTCCGCGTCTCTGCTTCACAGCCTCAGACTCCGTCTCACTGACAAGTCACTCCACATGATTTCGTACCTTTCCTCTGGAATGAAGAACTTTCCCTTTAAGTGACTCTCGAGCTGCCTACTTCATATTCATAAGCAGAGGCAGCAGCAGAGCTTCTCGTCACCCAGTGCTTAGTCTTCTCCTTCTGCAACATTCCCCGAGGGAGACCTACAGCTCTGAACCATGACTCGCTGCCATGCAGGCGAAGCTTCATCGTATATTAGAGATGAATCATTCTTTGGAAACAGAACTAAGCAAGCTAAGAAACTGACAAACACATTGTCTGCTGTACCCGGGTCTCCGGACGCCGGCATTGTGCAGGCACACTGCAGGCTGGATGACGGGAGGAGAACCCCGACCACAGGGTCACACAGCTGTGATGAACACGTCTTGCCCAGCAGGGACCAGTAAGCAAGGAATTAAAGGGACTGCTCTTAAGACAAAGCAAAACTCGAACAGCATCCAAACAGATGCACTTCTACCCACTGCACCGCCGACAGCAGCAGATGCCTTCTTCCCGCACCGACTCCATTAGCCAACAGGTCTGTTTATCTAAGGCTCCATTAGCGGATGAAAAAAATCACAATTCTAGAGCTCTCTTTTAGCTAAAGGACCATATGGCTGTCTTCAATTCTGCAGAGCACTCACAATAAACCACTATTCGCTTGAGCAGCGGTCTCAGTGCTGAGCACGGTCAGAGGTGCCAGCCCCACCACATCTGAGAGGCTCGGGTTTCCAGCCCTTCGGAAGCCATCCTGAGACCAGTGGTGCTTCCTGGACGGAACGTGGAGGCCACAGACAGGGCCGTCCTGCTCCGCGAAACTCCGCCTCCTGCTGCGCCTCCTGGGGGCTCTGGAAAGAGGGGTCTGGCAGGGCCTGGGAAGGGGGGACGCCACGAGATGACCGAGTGAAAAGGGAATTGTCTGAAAGGACAAGGAAAGGTCATTCACGAGCTGGGGACACAGTGGGAAGGTTCCATCCACGTCTCTGCTGTCCAGTGTGACAGGCACCAGCTACGAAGCCCTGGAAACACACTGAGTGCCGCTGAGGAACGGAATTGTTAAATTTCATTTCATTTTAATTGAATTTAATAGCCACATGTGGCTCCCAGACCCAGCACCGGTCCAGCACAAAGAAAAGCCCGGACTATAGAACAGCTCGGAGGAGCCGAGGGCTCTCATCCTCCCCCAGGAGTCAGGGGAACCTCATTAACTCTGCTTAACTGCGTTAGTGAAGCACTTTCCCACCGTCTCTCGGCCGAACGTGCGATGGGACGCAGCGCAGAGGTAGTGAAAGGCTCGTCTCTCGCTGCGAGCAACGAGACCTCAGGAGTTGAAATGATTCTTTTAAATTAACTATCTGCCTAAGTTGAAATACAAACTTTGGACCAAATGTTTACAACAAAAGATTATTTAAATTGCTCAAGGATTTTTATTTTTGTTGTTCTCCTTTGATATGATTACGCTTGGAAACCTTGGAGGAAAAACTACCTATGAACACAACTGCAACTGCTCAGACTCAAAAAAGGTTCATTCCAAAAGCAACTGTGCTATGGGGTGGGGGTGTCCACAACGCTTTACCTGGCTGATGACATTCGGCTGGTCTGTACATGAGCATCCTTGGTGATCACTGGTTGTGAGCCAACGCTTCTGGCCTGGTGCACTGCACACTGTGGCTTTAAATGGCAGTACATTCTAAAGACATGTCATCTGGGGACACAGGCTCCCTGTACATTACACACCAAGGCCGCAGCACAAACAAACTATATTGAGTATCAACTGGTGTTCTTTCCGAGGTGCCTACAGATTATGTTTAGTACCCCGAGTCTGTTTAAACAACATAAAACAGCACTGGTTTTAATGAAGAAAGTTTCTCAAATGCCAAGTCATAGAAGACAATTCTAGTTTTAGGATTAAAACAATAAATAAGCCACATAGTTCAACAGACTCCACAGAGCACTGCTGTAAACTCTAAACAGACCTTCTAATAAGTAATTTCAAGAGCAGGGCGCTTGGCTGAGTGTGGTCTGAGTAACAATGAAACCAGAGCTAGTGGCACCAAGTCACCTGTGTGGAGGCTGCACCCTTGGCTCCACCCTGTCAACTGCGTACCAACAAGTTGCGTAAGTTCACATAAATACGTAAAAAGGCAGCCAGTGTGGGTCAAGAGGGATGTAACACAATGGAATTTAAATGTAATGTAAACACATTCAAGGCTCAGAGTAAGCCCCCCACTACCAGTCAGGGCTCAGAGTAAGCCCCCCACTACCAGTCAAGCCTCAGAGTTAAGCCCCCCACTACCAGTCAAGGCTCAGAGTAATCTCCCCCACTACCAGTCAAGGCTCAGAGTAAGCCCCCCACTACCAGTCAAGGCTCAGAGTAAGCCCCCCACTACCAGTCAAGGCTCAGAGTAATCTCCCCCACTACCAGTCAGGGCTCAGAGTAAGCCCCCCACTACCAGTCAAGGCTCAGAGTAAGCCCCCCACTACCAGTTAAGGCTCAGAGTAAGCCCCCCACTACCAGTCAGGGCTCAGAGTAAGCCCCCCACTACCAGTCAAGGCTCAGAGCAAGCCCCCCACTACCAGTCAAGGCTCAGAGTAAGCCCCCCACTACCAGTCAAGGCTCAGAGTAAGCCCCCCACTACCTGTGAAGGCTCAGAGTAAGCCCCCCACTACCAGTCAGGGCTCAGAGTAAGCCCCCCACTACCAGTCAAGGCTCAGAGTAAGCCCCCCACTACCTGTGAAGGCTCAGAGTAAGCCCCCCACTACCAGTCAGGGCTCAGAGTAAGCCCCCCACTACCAGTCAGGGCTCAGAGTAAGCCCCCCACTACCAGTCAAGGCTCAGAGCAAGCCCCCCACTACCAGTCAAGGCTCAGAGTAAGCCCCCCACTACCTGTCAAGGCTGCTCAAAGTAAGCCCCCCACTACCAGCCGAAAAGTCAGGGATTCATTGCAATCGATGCAAAAAAGGCACAGGGAATGTAGAAGCAGGTTCAACACAGGTGGACAGACACGGTAGCTCAAACTGCCTTCACAAAATGTAAACTGCAAGAGAGTCACTAGTCTCTACTAAACTTCGAACTGCAGAGATTTCAGGGTACTGCACTCTAGCAGGGTGTCTGAAGGCCCCGCACCCCCCATGAGTCAGGAGTCACACACTTGGAAGGGGAAGGAAGCAAGACAGCTGTCCCAAAGGTCTGACATGTTGATGAGGAAGAGACATGTTTTGTGTGGTTCCAGAGAACAGAAAGAGAATCAAGAGAGGCCCATTTTAGTTCAATGCAAGTACAAATATGTCAAAGACCAGGGTTATTCATAATTGGGCTGGCCCATCTGGAAAAGAGTGACCAATCACGACTGAAGGCCACACCTGATGGCCCCAGGGGCTTCACCCTGGAAGGATGAGACTGGACTGGATGGCTCCCTCTTCCCCCAGCCCACGTGGAACAGAAGGCATTCACAGGCAAGACCACCGCCCTAACTCTCACTCCAGGCATTTCATCAGCAGCAAACCAGTGAGGACCCTCAGACAGGGACCCAGCTGTCACCTTTGTTACAACGTAATACTCTACGGTGTTCAGTGTTTTAACAAAAGTCAAGGACATAAACAATTACCAGGGACACACGCCCTGCCAGTTGGGCAGTTTCTGGCGTCTCACTGAGATACCAGGAACGAAGAACCCCTCCGCCTCAACTTTCAGATTCTAGCAATCTATGTAGCACTTCCCACATCAATTTCCTAAATACTTTTAATTTCAGTCTTAGACTCCAGAATCAAAATAACTGAGCTTAAACAGATTTTCTTAAAACTTCCTCAAGTTCCACAAAGGTTGCAAGCAACAAGCCTGCCAGGAAGTCCTGCGGCTGCCAGGGCTGTACCTCCGGGAACTGACCCGAATCCCTCTACCCAAGCAGGGGCGGAGGGGCTGTGGGCAGTCAGAGCAGACTTACCTGTGTTTGCAGGTCTCGTTCCTGCCCACTATTTCAACACTTCCTGAAACCCATGGCTAAGTGACACTGCAGTGTCCACACAGATGCCTGGCCTGGTTTGGGTTCCCTCCTAATTGCACCCTAGACACAGATTACAGATCCCAGGAGGGCATGACTCAATATTCAAACTCCAAATGACGTCATCCAAAGCACCAGTCTGGAAGAGATAACAGCATTTCTGTGCAAGCCCTCCCCTCCCCCCCAGCAACACACTCCCTACTGTCAGCTGCCCAGGCCCGGCGCCGGGTTTACCTTTCTGCACGTGGATGATGTCGGGGAAGTTGGCCAGGTGGCCCTGGTACAGCGCTAGCAGGTCCATGACGGGGTCCAGGTCCTGCCTGGGCTGCTCCGCGAAGAGCTCGCCGATGGCGTCGTAGGCGTCTCCGGTGAAGGCGATGGCCTGGTTCAGGCCGGCCGAAAAGGCCTGCTGGTCCAGCTCGAAGGCCTGGCTGAGGTGGCGCAGGGACTGGCCCACCTTCTGGTACTCCTTCTTGAAGCCCGTGACCTGCTTGCGCGCGAACTCGGTGGCCGTGTGGTTGAGCTGCAGCGCGCTGTCGTCCATCTTCTTGGTGAAGCTCTTGAAGCCGTCGATGCGACTCTCCACCTCCTGCAGGTCCAGCGCGGCGGCGGGCGGCGTGCTCAGCGTCAGGAAGAAGTTGGCGCCCACCATCTCGTCGCGCTCGGCCTTCCTCTTGCCCTGCTTCCAGGCCTTCTCGTCCGTGCCGCTGGGGCAGGTCAGGAAGTGCTGGAAGACGTCGCACTGCGCCAGCACCGGGTGGCTGGCCATGTGGTTCATCCACCAGATGAGGCCCTTCCTGCGCTTGGAGATGAAGTCCTCCTCGAAGCGGCCGGTGGCCTGCTTCTCGGGCAGGTGGGGCACCGAGATGACCGGGAACTTCTCGGCCAGGCGCGCGTACAGCCAGTCGAAGTGCTTGTAGCGCCGGTGCACCGGCACCTGCGTGTGCGTGGGCACCAGCTTGTAGGAGATGTAGCTCTTCATGCCCTTGAACTTGGTCTGCTTGGTGGGGTCGTCGATGGTGCACTGGAAGGGGTAGGGGTTCTCCTGCCACTCGGGGCCGTAGGGCCCCAGCACCACGCACAGCTTGTCGCCGTCCTTGACGAAGCCCGACGCCTCGCCCAGCACGAAGGCCTCCCCGCCCGACTTGACGAAGGTGGAGAAGCGGTTCAGGTTGCGGCTCACGGTGGCTGAGCTCTTCGCGCCCGACGGCTGGTGCTGCGCGGGCGCCGGGCCGCCGCGGGAGCCCAGCGACAGGTCGGAGCGCGTGGACAGGCGGTAGCGGCCGGCGCCCCCCGCTGACGACGAGCCGTCCAGGTCCGGGTACGCGCCGCTGCCCAGCGCGCCCGGCTCGTCGGCCACCGTGGAGCTGTCGTCCCACTCGTCGTCCCAGTCGTCGTCGCTGCCCTGGCTGGCTTGGTAGCCGCCGCCGTAGAGCTGCTGGGGCGACGGCTGCGAGGCGCCGCCGGCGTACGGGAGGCCGGGGCCTGGGGGCTGGAAGGCGCCCGGAGGCTGGAAGGCGCCCGGGGGCTGGAAGGTGCCCGGAGGCTGGAAGGCGCCCGGGGGCTGGAAGGTGCCCGGAGGCTGGAAGGCGGCGGGCGGCGCGGCGGGCAGGGGCTCGAGGCCGCCGGGTGGCACATTGGCGTAGCGGGCCGGGGCGCCGAGGCCGCCGTCCGCCGCGGGGCCGGGCTCCGGGGCGCGGATCACCTGCACGTAGGAGGCCGGGAAGAGGCCGCGGTCGCCGCGGCTATTGATGCCCTCGAACCAGCCCTCGATGTCCTGCTCGCTGCACAGGCTCAGCACCTCGTGCTCCCGCAGCGAGATCTCGCCCGGGTTCTCCGACCTGAAGTCGTACAGCGCCCGGGCGCGCAGCGCCATGGTCCCGCCGAGCCGCCCGCCGCCCGAGGGCCCGCGGAGGGAGCCCGAGGCTGCGCTGCGCCCCCGCCCGCCGCTCGCGCCCTCCTCCCGCGCCGCGCGCCGCCGACTGCGAGCCCGGCCGCCGCCGGGGGGCGGGGCCCCGGCCGCCCACGTCCCCAGCCGCGCTCCTCGAGCGCCGAGAGCCGCGCCAGGCGAGAGCAAGCGAGCGCCGAGCCGCCGCCGCCCGCCCGCCGCGCCGCCGCTGCCCCCTGGTGGCCGGTGCGGGCAGCCCGCGCTGGGCGACCCGCGGCCGGAGGGGGCGGCTCACAGGTCCATGGGCCGAGGCTTCTTCAGGCTGTTCGCTTAGAAAACGTCCTGGAAAGTCGGTTCCCACCGTGTTCGCCTCCCTGCTAAACGTGCCCCTGCGAGACGCACACGCCTGTGGCCCGGCCAGCTGCGCCCACTGCAGCCTGCAGGCAGCCAGGGGCGGGGGCGGCAGGGGCCGAGCCAGGAGGGTGCTGGGCGCCCCTGAGCGGCCCCGGGCAGTTCACAGAAAAGCCAGCGCCCCTGTCCCTGCTCCTCCCTGGGGCGTGTGTCGCGCGAGGAGTGACAGCTCGCTGTGCCAGCCAGGGCTGCATTTGAACCCACCCGGACACCACCTGCCTGTGTCCGGAGTGAGTCCCTTCGCTGCCCAGCTGCTGGGGTGGCCAGTGGAACCCCTATTTACAGCTGAGGGGAACCCACCGGGCCGTTGGCATGGCCCTGGAGGTGGTAAGCCCAGTGCCCGTGTTTGCTGCTGCCCCTGCTGTTCCTGGGGAAGCAAACCTCCCGCCCCCCTCATAGGGAAAATATGGGCCCATCAGGGCCCCCAGTGCACCAGGCCGGCCCCAGGGCTCAGCCCTTGCCCCTGGGCTGAGATCAGGGGTCGTTCCTCCCCAGTCTTCCGTCTCACTATCTGTGTATCATTTTAAAGAAAAGTAGATAAAAAGTCACGTCCTGAACGTCCATCCACAGCAGTCCCAGTAGTTGCTTGTTTCACACCTTTTTCCTTCAGGGTACAGTTGGCCCGAGGCCTTTTCTTCTCATAATCTCGTGTTAAATCTGCCTAATTATTCCTTTGCAGAGACTTCTAATTGGGATTCAGCTTTCCCGTCATTAATTTCAGTCCGTCTTCTGACCCTTTTCAAGCAAATCCGGGAACCGGGCCAGAGAGCCGCCACTGTTTGCAATGGCCCTGGAATTCTAAGCATCCTGCATAAAACCCCCGCCACAGACCAGACTGCACCGCAGTGTTTATTTAGGATGCAAAGACTTAATTCCAGTCAGTGAGCCAATGCTAAACTGAAACACTTTTAGCTGAAAATTCTGGGTTGGGACTCCTCACGGCCAGCAACAGAGGTCGCTGAATGTCGGTGTCAGCAATGGATGTGGTCAGAGACACGCAGTCAGCATGGACGAAACAGCTGGAATACAGTGCATTTTACTTAGCAGTTCAAGAGAAGCTAAGATACTCAAGATAAATGCATTTAGTTTCACCCCTACTATTTATTCATCTGGTAGTTACTTCTTAGGTTAAAGAGTTAAAGTGGCGCTGGCCAGTTTGGCTCAGTGGTTGGAGCATCGGCCTGTGGACCAGAAAGTCCCGGGTTCGGTTCCCGCTAGGGGTATGTATCCCCCCCCAAAAAAAGAGTTAAAGTGGCGCAGACCTTGCCGTGTGCCAGGCTTTGAAACAGGGAGAGCACATCTGGTCAGTGCGTGTCAGGAGCTGGTGGCACTGACAGCGACCGTGTTGCCCAGTAGAAGCAGGTGTCAGGTCCCCCGCCCCACTGACAGGCCAGTGGTCAGCTCTGCCGTCCGGTGAGAGGCCAGGCACAGGGCTTTGTGAAGGACAGGGACAGGCTATTGAAGGTGCCTGGCCCTGTGGCACCCACGTGGCAGGGAAACCTCACCCGCAGGGTCTTGGATGTCTATGAAATGTGTTCAGGTGTTAGAAACCGACAGCGGCTCACTCAGGGAAGTAGATGCGGTAATGTCTTTTTAAAAGATTTCTCTAGAAAATAGAGCACATTATTTTAATTTGGTTTACACAGTCATCGTTATAATGACCAACCATTTCTGTTTATTATGCTTTTGTGGAAACAAGCCTTTAGGGGACACCAAATGGCCCCAAACAACTGTGTCTTCACCCTCCTCCCTTGAGCCTGCCAGGCATTGGGGGGTGGGCCCTCCACCCTCCTCCACGAGGGAGGCGCCACTAGGGTTTCTTAGCTGTTTCTGGGACAAGCCAAGCATATCTGTGCCGTGTTGTGAGTTTTTGTTTTTGTTTTTGTTTTTGGTACGTGCCCCTGGTGGGAACCGAACCCGGGACTCTGGTCCGTTGGCCGACGCTCCAACCGCTGAGCCAAACCAGCCAGGGAGGATTTTTTTTTTTAATAAACTTTTTTTAAAGAGAAGTTTTAGGCCCTGGCCAGTTTGTCTCAGCGGTTAGAGCATCAGCCAGAAGACCAAAGAGTCACGGGTTCGATTCCGGCCAAGGGCATGTACCTTGGTTATAGTTCCGTCCTCAGCCCTGGTAGGGGTCATGTAGAACTCAACCAGTCGATGTGTCTCTCTCACATCAATGTCTCTCTCTCTCTCTCCCCCTCTATCTGAAGATAAATGGAAAAATATCCTCCGGTGAAGATTAAAAAAAAAAAGAGAGAGAGAGAAATTTTAGGTTCACAACAAAACTGCGACGAAGGTACAGAGGTTTTTCGTATGACCTGATACACCTGTGCGCACACATGGACGCCTCCTCCAGGGGGGTAGCTTTCTTACGACCCATGAATCTACATGGACACATCACTGTTATTCCAAGTCCAGAGTTCACGAGGGCTCACTCTGGGGGTGCACATTCTATGGGTTTGGAAAAATGTATAATGACATGTGTTGATTATTATAGTGTCATACAGAGTATTGCCACTCCCTTAAAACCCTTTAGTGCTCTGCCTATTCATCCCTCCCTGCCCCCAGCCTCTGGTGACCACTGACCTTTGTCTTGTCTCTGTAGCTGTGCCTTTTCCAGAATGTCATACAGTTGGAAACCTACGGGATGTGGCGTTTTCAGAGTGGCTTCTTTCACTTAGTAATTTGCATTTAAGATTCCTCCATGTATTTCATAGCTTTTTAGCTCATTACTATTGAGCACTCAATAATATTGCATTTCCTAGATATACCACAGTTTATCCACCTACACACAGAAGGACACCTTGGTTGCTTCCAGGTTTCAGTAGTTATGAATACGACTGCTATAAACATCTGGGTGCAGGTTTTTTGTGGATGTCACTTTTCAACTCTTTTGAATAAAAACCAAGGAGCGTGATTGCTGGATTGTATAGTAAGAGTATGTTTAGTTTTGTTAGAATAGCCAACTGTCTGCCAAAGTGGCTGCACCACTTTGCATTTCTACCAGCCACCAGGGGGAGCTCCTGTTGTCCCATCCTCGTCAGCACTTGGTGTTGCTGGCGGTCCAGATTTAGGCCAAGTGTGTGGAGGTACCTGGCTTGGGTTTTACCTTGCCTTTTTCTGATGACATGTGAGGTGGAGCATCTTTTCCTTGCTTATTCGCCTTCTGTGTATTTTCTGTGCGTGAGGTGTCTGTTAAGGTCTTTGGCCCACTTTTAAATTGGGTTGTTTGTTCTCTTACTGACTTAAGATTTTTTAAAATGTGTATTTTCCAGTCTGGAAGCCTTTTATTCCCAGTTCTGCTTTATTATATTAGCTGTGGGATCTCAAAAAAAAAAAAAAACAAATAAATGTTTTCTGTTTATCTCCCCAGCCAAACTGTTGTGCCTGGCTTTCGAACCCTCCCTTGACCAGCCCCATGGTCCAGCCTCCAAGGTCCAAACCTTCACTGGGCCAGGCTGGTCTCTTCGCTGACTCCCCCTCACAAGGAAGGAGCCCTTCGACTCAGAAACCACAAAGCAGACATGAGAACGGGGCCCTCTGGTCTCTCTTGCTGACACTGGACAAATTCTAGCCTCTGGAATCCTCAGCGTGACGTGGAGGAAGCAGTATATGCATCACAGGTTGTCGTAAGTGGCTTAATGTGTGTGAGGATTTCGGACATTCCCGGCAGCGGGGTCGCCGGTGTTTGGAGAAGCAGTGAGGAGCGATGTCGCGGTCTCTGCCACGGCTTGGCCATGTAGTCATCAAACAGGCCACGACTTTCTACGTTTATCCAATTCTGTATGCTTGTTCCGATTGCACAGAAGTAGACAGACTGTGAGAGTCTTAGAAGAAATGACTGCTTACAGGGGTTCTTTCTTTATCCTTCTCCTGTCACCTGAGAGGGCCTGGGCCCCGAATGGGTTCTCCACTTCGTGCAGGAAGATTTCACCACACAAGTCCAGGTGATTTTGAGAGTTGTTTTTTTTGTGGTTTTTTTTCTAATTTTTTTTTCTTTATTGATGTTAGAGAGACAAAAGGAGAGGGAGGGATAGAAATATTGATGAGATAGAACATCGATTGGCTGCCTCCTGCATGACCCCCATGGGGATCAGGCCCACAACCTGGGCGTGTGCCCTGACTGGGAATCGAACTGGCGACCTCTTGGAGCAGGGTTGACGCTCCACCACTGAGCCACACCGGCTGGGCGATTTTGAGAGTATTTTTATTGAAGCTGGGCACAGCCCTGTCCAGTTTGGTTCAGCGGTCAGAGCTGAGCAGACCGGAGAGTCCCGGTACGTACTAAGGGCACGTACCTTGGTTGCAGTTTGTCCCCGGCCTGGGTCGGGGTTGTGTGGGTGGCAACCAGTCGGTGTGTCTCTCTCGCATCGATGTTTCTCTCTTCCCCCTCTCTCTCTCCCGCTCTATCTGAAGATAAATGCAAAGGTGTCCTTGGGTGAGGATGAAAAAAAGAAGAAGAGTAAAGCTGGGGACAGTGGACGAAAGAAGGACTTGGCATAGCTAGCAGCAGCAGGAGACAGCCTGGGCAGGGCTGCTTCGCTCCCTAGACTCTGGCAGGAGAGGTGAGCCACGAGGGCCGCGTGCC